TATGTCCTCTGCCCTTTGTTTACAGAACATCTCTATCTGGTGTTTTATGTTCTCCTGAAAACTATGTCCAAAGATAAACTTATGATCTTTCTCCACTCCCACAAATGTCCCCACATTAAAAAATGCCACCTCTGGGTGCCTGGGTGGCTTAGTCGGTTAAGCATCTGACTCTTGATTTCAGCTTGGGTCATGATCTCATGGTTCGTAGGATCAAACCCCGAGTTGGGCTCTGCACTGACTGCACATGGAGCCTGCTTGAGATTCTCACCCTCTCTCTCTGACCCTCCCCTGCTCACACACACACTCTCTCTGTCAAAATAAATAAATAGGCTTAAAAAATGCCACCTCATCCATCCAACTACTCAAATAAAATCAGGTATCATCTTTGATAACTCCTTCACCTTTAGTGCCCTTCCCCCAGTCTAATCCATCACCAAGACCTCTCATTTTACCTCCTAAAATGTTCATTTAGTCCATTTCTGTCTTCATTGCCACTATGTTAGACCATTATCTTTTGCCCAGACTTACTACAATCTTCTTCTAACTCCTAATTTACTCTCTTCTCCCTAGGTTTATTTTCCACACTGCAACCAGAAGGAACTTCTTAAAACACAAAACTCACACTGATCATTATTTGCAGCTAATGACTAAAGTCCCTGTTTTTCTCCTTTCTCCAGTCTCATCTGGTGCCTCCCTCGCTCTCGTTATGTGCCAGGCATGCTGGCCTTCTTTCAGTTCCTCACCAGTGCTAAGCTCCTTCCCCACATAGGGCCTTTGCACATACCGTTCCCAACTTCCCTTCCCTCCTTGTGTGGTCAATTTCTGGTCACCCTTCAGGTTTTAGCTGAAGCTTATGAGCTCAGGGAAAAGTTCCTTAGCTCCTTGACTAGGCGAGATCCATCTGTGCCTTCTCATTGCACTTTGCACAACTGTAACTGAATAACTATTTGCTCCCTGTCATCTCCCCTGACGTATAAGCTCCAGAGGTAAGTGAACTCTTGACTCTCTCTCCAGCACATTGTCTGGACCTCAATAAATACTTGCTAGAAGAGAGATTGAGGGGCGCCTGGGTGGCTCAGTCAGTTAAGCATCCAACTCTTTAAAAAAAATTTTTTTTTTTACATTGATTTATTTTTGATAGAGAGAGACAGAGCACAAGTGAGGGAGGGGCAGAGAGAGAAGGAGACACAGAATCCGAAGCAGGCTCCAGGCTCTGAGCTGTCAGCACAGAGCCTGACACGGGGCTCACACTCCTAAACTGTGAGATCATGACCTAAGCCGAAGTCGGGCCGACTTAACCGACTGAAACACCCAGGTGCCCCAAGCATCCAACTCTTGATTTCAGCTCATTGTTTGTTAGATTGAGTCCTGCGCTGGGCCCTGTGCAGGGCAGGGAGCCTGCTTAAGATTCTCTCTCTCCGTCTCCCCCTGCCCCTCCACCCAAAGGCAGAACTGGAATTAGAACCTAAATCCATTTCCAGTACAGTATTCTTTTCTCAAACCATGAAGGGTCTGTCCCTGTAAGATGATACCCCACTCTCCAGACTTCTTCTTCCTTTCCCAGTGATTAAATTATCCCTCTTCTGTTCAGGGGCCAGTTATAGCCAATTTGGTGAACTAATCCAGGTTTAGAGTTTACCCTTCTTTCAAGGATATTTGCATTTTAACTGGGAAATCCTGGAGGACAGAAAATAACCCCAAAGGAACTACAGAAGTCCCCTTTTATCCACAGGGGATATGTTCCAAGACCTCCCTATGGGTGTCTGAAACTGCAGATAGTATTGAACCCTATATATACTGTTTTTTTTTCTATATATACATACCTATGATAAAGTTTAATTTACAAATTAGGCACAAGAGATTAACGATAATAATAAAACAATTGTAACAATATACTGTAATAAAAGTTATGTGGATGTGGTCTCTTAAGAATATCTTATTGTAGCTGGAGGTGCCTAGGTGGCTCAGTCAGTTAAGTGTCTGACTCTGGATTTTGCCTCAGGTCATGATCTCATGGTTTGCGAGATCAAGCCCTGTGGCAGGCTCTGTGCTGAGAGTGCAAACCCTGCTTGGGATTCTCTTTTCCTCTCTCTCCACCCCTCCCCCACTCAAAACGAGTAACTAAACACTTAAAAAACAAAACCCAAAAAATATCTTATTGTAGCTTTTTGCATTCGTGCTTGTGGCAGTGGCAGCAAGGGTGCCCTTGACATGTATAACAATGCTGGCAAGTTCATGGACCTGTATGTGCAGCAGAAATGCTCTGCCAGCAACCACATCATCAGTGCCAAGGACCACAGGTCCATCCAGATGAACATAGCCAAGACTGACAAGGTGACAGGTAAGTTCAATGGTGTGTTTATTTTTTTTAAGTTTATTTATTTAGTTTGAGAGAGAGAGCATGCACGAGTGCAAGCAGGGGTGGGGAAGAGAGTGGGGGGGGGAGAGAATCCCAAGCAGACTCTGCATTGTCAGCACAGAGACTGAAGTGGGGCTCGATCCCCCGTACTGTGAAATCATGACCTGAGCTGAGGTCGAGTTGGATGCTTAACTGAGCCACACAGGCATCCCCTCAATGGTCCGTTTGAAACCTTTGCTATCTGTGGGGCCATTTGCAGGATGGGTGAGTCAGATGACTCCATCCTCTGACTGGCCAAGATCCACAGCATCATTTCAAAGAATTTCTGACTGGAGAGGATGAAGGACGTGGGATATTTGTCATAAATAAGTAGCACCTCCCTCCCCCCCCACCATTCTTATTACAATATACTCACGCTTCTTGTGATGATGTGAGATGATAAAATGCCTGCATGATGAGATGATGTGAGGTAAAAGATGTAGGCATTGTGACCTAGCATTAGCCTATTATTGATCTTCTGACACATGTCAAAAGAATCATCTGGTCTGGACCACAGTGGACCGTGGGTAACTGAAACCGTGGAAAGTGAAACCTCAGATAAGGGAGAACTACTGTAAGAAAAATTTCAGGCACCACAAAAGTCATTGGAAGGAGGGAATTTTCACTATTATCCCTTAATCGGATTATAGGAAAGGAATCTTCAATGTACCAGATTTGCTTCTGTGTGTGTGTGTGTGTGTGTGTGTTTTAAACACACACAACAAACCTGTTAGGTAGATGTTATTATCCCCTTTATCAAATGAGGGAATCTCTGAAAGTCCTAGTAATTTACCTAATATTGCAAATCTGGTGGTGAAGCCTCCCCTTCCCAGGACGTGACTTTTGGTCAATCCTCTATTGATCATATCGTGCTGCTTTCAAGTATAGGCAACTGCTTACAATTTATACAAAAGTCTGGGCTATGAGGTTAACTGGCTGACTATCTTAAAAAAGAAAAAAAAAAGGATTACTAGGTTTCTCTTATTTCCTTGGTGGGATCTATGCTCTGAGACTTGACATTTTATGGTTTCTGTCAGAAGTCCATTACATATTGATGCCTGGCCTTATTCATTCCAACCATAAATGTGATGATGTGCAGAAAAAATGCTTTGAGCACTTTGAGCAAAATTATAATGCAAAATCCAAGGTGCTGTGTTATCATTTATTTTACTACTGAGTCCACCAAAGCCTCCTATTTCCAGAGAGTGGATGGTATCAAGTTGACACGGAATAGTGCATTATTTATCTGTTTACTACTATTTGCAATAACAAAAGCTATTAGGAGATGGGTGCCCTAGGATCAAATATCCCTACATGAATTAGGTTTGCTGCTGATTAAAAATGTCTTTGCCCATATTTTGGATCTCCTCTGGATTATGATTCCTGAAAACAGGATTTTTTTTGAGGGTGGAAGTACACTATTGTGTTTCTCTTAGTGTCAGATACACATGATTATTTAATAGCTTTGTGACCTTGGGCACATTACTTAACCTCTCTGTTTCTCCAGTTGTAAAACAGACTGACAACTATTTTGAAGCTGCTGCTAGCTTTTAAATGTTTTAAAGAACCTATCAACAATACCTAACCTACAGCAGGTATTCAGTTAGAATTAATCTCCCTCCTTTCCCAGAGTAAGGACATTCTCTCTTGGAAGTCCATAGTTTTATAGATTCTCTGGACTTGTTGAACATACATGGAAAATTTTGTGTAGATGAGTGAGGTCTGCTTTTCCTGAAAATAAAGCCACTCTTTAACAGAGTATCCTGGCGGGCCAATGACTTCCTTAAAAAAGAGCTAGATGATCTAGCAATGTAGATGATCTCTGCAATGCCAAATATCCTTTGCAGGGGACCAGATTTTTTTTGTGGATGTTTTAGTCTTTGGGCACTCTTTTTTAAGTCCAACAGAGGAGGATAATCAGGTCCCTGGTGGTAGTGGTGGCGGCGTGTCTTTCTCTGGGCAGGGCCCCCATTAAGTTTCCCTGGGGGCTGTGACCCCTCGCAGGGTTCCCTCCCACATGGGGGTGGGGTGCCATTTGCAGCTGGGAGGCTGGTTTATTTTGAGGTCTCTGGCGCTCCGGGGGTCGCTTTTTGAGAAAACAGGCTTTTGTGGGTTTTCTCAAGCTAAAAACTACTCTATCCAGGTGTTAGTCAAAACCTCGCGGCACGACCCTGGCCGCCCCCACCTTCCTACAAGGCCCCAATCCTGAGGCGGTGGGGGCGGGGAGGCCGCACTCGCCGCTTCCGCTCCTCCAGACCACCAGGGGGCGCGGCACCCCCGCCTCTTCCTTCCCGGGGTGCTTCGCGCCGGGCCCCTTCCGCGTGGGTGAGTGAATGTGAGAGTCAGCGTCGCGCCGCGCGCGCCGTTCGCCTCCGCCGCTCGGCGCTCTTATTTCGGCTGCGAGGGGCGGGCGCGCGCGTAAAGGCATAGAGACGGGCGTTGAGTTCTCGGGCTAGAGCGTCGCCGAGTCGGAGCCGGAGCCCGAGCCGCGCGCTGTGTCTCCGCTGCGTCCGCCGAGGCCCCCGAGTGTCAGGGACAAAAGCCGCCGCCGCGCCGCCTGCTCCCGCCGCCAGGGCTCATCCGCCGCCGCCGCCGCCCTGACGAGAGTCCACAGCTGTCGCCACCCGTGAGGATCCGAGAGCCATGTCGGCCAGCAGCCTCTTGGAGCAGGTACAGGCCCGGCCCGCATGCCTCGGCCATTGTGTGAGGCGAGAGGTAGTCCGACTAGGCCCGGGCCCGCCGCCCCCGGTCGGGCCGAGCAGAGGCGGCGCCTCCCGCGGGCCGGGTTTCGGGCCTCTCAGGCCGGCCGCACCCAGCGCCTCGCCCTCAGCCCGTACTCGCCGCTTCTCCCGCTTCTCCCTGGGCCTCGGATCCCACCGGCCGCGCCGCCTTCCCTCTTCTCAGCAGGCCTCTTTTCTTCCTTGTTTCCTTCCCCTTCCTTGAAGCCCTAGTCCGCTCGCGTTGTTTCTGGCGCGTCCCCCGCTTTCTCTCAGCGGGCCCCGCCGGCCTGCGCTTTTCCCCGCCTCCCATTTTCAGCCTCCCCCTCACCACCATTCTTGACGCCTCCCCTCAGGCCTGCTCCTTTATTCCCTTCTCGGGCCCGGCTTTAATTTGTCTTTTCTTTTCCATTTCTTCCTCGGACGACTTGCTGCTCGGCGACGTTTCCTTCGCCCGCAGAGACCAAAAGGTCAAGGAAACAAAGGTGAGCCCAGCTCTGCCGGTAGCCCTGGG